GCAGGAAGAAAATGGTATCCATGAACCCCATCGAAAACCTTTGGGCCATACTCGACCGGCAAGTCAAGAAACAACCAAAAAAACCAACTTTGAAGAGCAAACTACTCCAAGTTTTGAAGCAAGAGTAGGCGAAAATCCCACAATCTAAAATTGACGAGATGATTCTCACGATGCCCCAAAGGATCAACGAACTCCACGAAGCGAAAGGAAGATCTACTAGATATTGATTAAATTATAAATTTATCAATTCATGTGAATATGACTGAAAAATTTCATTTTTTCTGAAAAGGTGGTGTCTATTTACTTTTGACCACGCTGTGTAGCTTGTTTTTGGTGCAGAAAAGTAACATGTATGGGGCTTGATTGTTAAGTGTGTGGTATACTGACATATCTTCTTATCTTAATGTAGAAATTTTCAAAAGTTTTTGTTTATTCTGAACCTATCTAGTTTTTGCATGCTCCAGAAAAGCATTAAGATGACTTCATTCATTGCTGTAATGCTGTACATTGTGTAAGATTGTAGACGACAGTAATGTTCTTCACTGGTAGGTCAGATGATGCTTTGAAGTTATGGCTTCCCCTATGATAAATGAGTGTATTCAATCACATTTGTAGCACTATTTGCTGTGGCTAAATTTGACATTTCTTATTAAGGAAAAAACATTAGGTTTAAACTGTACTAAAATCTATGGGCTGAAATGTCACACTTTTAATTGCTTAAAGAAGAAAAAAATATTTTCTCTCTAATGTTGTTCATGTTATTAAATTTAACTGGTTTTATGTTCAACTTTTACTTTTTTCTCAAACCATGGATAGCTGTGAAACAACTGTCCAGTCATCTCTTTTTGTAAATCATTGTTGATGAGAGCATGGTAAATTGATGATAATGCTGTTTTCAGTTATTCATTGAAACTCAGTTGCATTGTTATTAACCATTTGTCTTTGTGACTATTTTTTTTTTTGTTGATCATTTTATGCTCAAATTTTTATCCAGATACTTAGCTTTATTATGAAGCATGTTATAATTCTCTCCTGAGTGGGATATCCTCAGGGTTTACACTGTCCTTTAAGAAATTGCATTGGCCAACACAGTTAAAAAAAATGCATTAGATGGAGAAAAGAAAATTCCATGCATGAATATGCAAGTTCTAGATCTAGATCTATTATTTTGATAAGTAACTTTGGAAAAACAATGTACAGTACTTGAAATTTTCATCTGACACTATTTACTGTGTATTTTCTCTACCCTAATATTAATTGTGCCTTAATTATTTCACTACAGCAATAAAGAATAGTAATTACATGTATTACATATTTTGAGAGAAAATCGTTTTAGAGTTTTAGTGCATATATTAAAATTTAAATTAAAATTTAAGCAACTTGTGTTTAAAATGTTGAACTACTGAGGTTTTTAAAAATAAAAAAATAGGAACATGGTACTTGTGTATAGATATTTATTAAAAACTCAGTTTCAAAAAATGTTTAAAAGTACATAATAATTTAAAAATATTGAAGGCACCAGGCCTTACTAAAAAATTAACAGGTTTCAGTGGGTCATAAACCTACTATTATCAGGAAGGAAAACCTGAAAGTTTTTGTTGTAAATAATTTTAATGATAAGTAACATTTCCAAAACACACATACCTCTGCTGACACTAATAGCTATTTCTCAATTTTCATCTTTGCCATCTACTGTTGTGTTCGCTTACTCCAGCCTTTATATATTCCACTTGGAAGCTGTGCATGACCTGAATCGGGGCGAGATAGAGTCCTTCATGTGGCCTTGTGGGTTTCTTTCTGGGAGGTGCTGTTTTATGTGATTTTTCACGTCATCCCTTCGACAATATGGCCTTCTGTTTATTATATCACCTTTCCCTCTCAGTTTATTTTTTATTGCTGTTAGCTTCCAGATGCCGTCGTTCTGATCTATTTGCCATTAATGTTCAGCAGACTCTCTATCATTCTACCTATGTTTTGCTCTATCCCGACCAATCATTTATTCCAAAAACTCTTGCTGACGGAGAAGGAAACAAATCTTTTTCTCCTATTCATTTACCTGGCATTTCTCATCTTTACAGTAGATTAGACCCAGTTTTTTTGTTATGTCCCATCAGGGTGCTCAGATGTTATGTGACTTGTACGGAACCATTTCGAGGCCCTAGGAATAGACTTTTTATTCATTGGGATTCTGCAGTGTCCATGGATTTATTACCTGTTACTTTAACCAGATGGCTTTGGAAGTTGATCCATTATGCCTAATCAGGCTTATCTGTTAATGATCGCAATATGCTCCACGTTACCTCTCACCAGATTCCACACCTATCGATGTCTTTGGTTGCCCGGTTGAACTGTTTTCTAGAAGATATTTTGTGGGCCAGTATGTGGACTTCTCTCGGCATGTTCATATCTCATTACCTTCACAATCTGGCAGTATCCTCTTCGATGGGATTTCGTCTTCCCCCTGTGGCTGTGTTGACTACCTCTACTAGATTTTAACGGGGAGGTATGTAATGTGTTATCTGACTTACAGTTATTGTTCTTTTCTCTTCTAGGATCCCTATTGATTTTTTGGACCCCACTCAGGGGCGAGTGTTACCCAGTCAGGTATGCTTGTATTTAAATTCCACACTAGCAACCTTTATATCAGTTCCTGGTTGCAATGGGCTTTGTCGAGATGAGGTGTTCCACAAGACCATTGGATGCAATTCTGGATGGTAGTATATTACAGTATTTCTAATGGACTGCTACTCATGGACTATCATGGGTAAAGCTAAAGGGGATCTTGCCAGTCCCTGCTGATCTCAGAGCTGAATCAGTCGAGATCAGTTTGCATTTAAAAATTGGAGAACATGTTTCACCTGTTGCAGTGTCTCTGGAGACCTGCTCCTCAGGACTCCCCAATGGTTATGTTCTCCCCTTACTTCTACTAGTGGAGCTTGGGAGTCCTTACCACACCCAGTTCCTAGTCGCTGGGGTGGTGGACAGAGGATTTACCTTTGGAGTGTTGAGTAGGCACCCTCCTACCTGGGTCCCCTGGAAGTTTTTTCCCAGATGTTGTTAGGAGCAGAACCAACTTACGCGGGAGCCTACTTGTAAAACCAGTCCAGATTTGACGCTTAGCTATCCGGTGAGGGGGTTCTTGGACCCTCTTATGAACACTGTCAGGTCTTATGTTGTTCATGCAGGGGTTCCACTACCTCCTCATAAAGTTGAATGCGATGCAGTCTCATCTTTGGTTCTTGGTGGGATAGTGTTCCACATCCTCTCCATAATTCCATGGGTAAGAGGAATTCTCCTTGCCCACTTGATGGGGGAGAAAAGACAACTGTTTGTAAATCCAGACTGGATGAGTTCTGGACTTTGGTGGAATATGCCATATGATCCCCTCAATCCAGACCTGGGATGTTATCTTTTGGACTTCTTGAGGTTGATCAGAAGTATTGTCCACTTTGGTGTTGCTTTCTTTTGATTCATAAATCTGGTGGTTTGAAACTCATCATTCTGTGGTTACTGGTAGGGATCCTATCACTAATATATATATATATATATATCGGAGGTCCAACTGCCCTGGCCACCAACGTGGCATATGGGTACCATGACCCCTTAAATCCAACCAGAGTTGTGAAACCTCGGCTGTTTGGTTGGGACTGGACTATTATACTTGTATCATATTTCACCCTTTTCAATTTTCTGTAGTTCTGGGTGAAGAGCATACCTGTTCTGGATGTAGTACGGTGTTCCCCACTTTGATACCATCTCCTGTGGTACATATTTGTTCTCTGCAGATGCTTTCTGTATGATCTCTGTCCTCACCAGCCCCGTCGCCTTCTCAGTGTGGGATTCTAGCTATTAGTGTCGGTGGAGGTATGTATGTTTTGCAAATTATCATTTTCCTAAAGTGAAAATGTATTTCCAAACATACTTACCTCCACTGACACTCTCCCTCCCTTCCTCACCATTAAGAGCTGGTGTTAGTGACTAAAATGAGGTAAGTCACAAAAAAGTGATTTTATTATCTGCATACAATGCTTTTATACAGTACCTGCATAGAGGGTGTGTGAGGGCCGGCATAAAGTTTTGCAAATTAGATATTGCAGAGGGCAGTTGAGTGGGGGTATATAAAGACCGGAGCGAGCGAACACAACATTAAATGGCACAGATGAAGATTGAGAAATAGCTATTAGTATCAGCGGAGGTAAGTATGTTTGGAAATACATTGTCAGTTTAGGAAAATTATAACTTAACAAAGAAGCAATTTGAAATTTGTAATAATCTATCTTACAGGGTGATGATCCATTTCAAAAAGAGGAGACTATTGAAATCAAGTGAGTTTTTGTTCACATGAAATACTACAGATGTGTAACTGTCTATGTATTAAAAGACCTATTTTTACCATACTTTTACATATATAGTTAGGGAGCCAGCCCCCCCCCCCCCCCACGTGGTACAGTATGTCTGTGGACTTACACCGCTAGAAACTGGGTTTCGATACCTGTGGTGGGCAGAGCACAGATAGCACATTGTGAAGCTTTGTGCTTAATTACAACCAACTAACCAGGATTGCCAAATTGAAAAAAAGTGCATGGAAAGATATATTTTGTTATCATACATCTTTTCAATATGTCTAGGTTAAGAAAACCAGTGTTAACAGATGAAATTCTCTTGCCTTTGAATGTTATAGCTCAAAATGTAGCACTATCCTTTGTACTCCCAAAAATGGTATTTTTTGGCAAGATAACACATCCAACAATCAAAACATTGAGGATATCGTACAGTTTCATGGGCCGTATTGAATCATACATACAGACTTTAATATGTTGTTTCAACATGTACAATCAATATTTTGAACATTTTTATTACAGTGTATGTGAAGGTATGGGTACAATGAAAGGAAAAATGTAAACATTAGATGGGTCACCACATTTAACTTATAAGCAAAATTTTTAAACATTACAAACAAATAAAAAATATACTGTTCATTCTGGAGTTTGGTTATCACTTGGCACATTTCACTCACAGTTATATGTGAGGAGCAAATAATACTACTTGAACCCATTGAGGGATTATTTGGATCTCAGACCCAAAGTGTTCTTTGAGCCTTGACTGAAGCCTCAGTGTTCTATACTTTGATGCATTCACAACACCTTTTTCAGTTAGAATACTGTGATAATGGTCTTACAGTTGAGTGATATAGTAAGCTGCTTTATGTTTGAGAAGGAAATCTGAAAGCCCTGTGAGTAGATCAGTAAATGCTGATTCAGATAGATCTGGTAATCTTGCTGGTGTCACAACAAAAACTGGTTTCTTATTCATAAAGAGAAAGTCATACATAAGTGATGTTATCTGAAGTCTTTGGCAACCATGTCACTTTTCTTATCTCCACGTACCTGGATTTTGGTAAGAATTGTTTCATTATTTAAGTCTTTGGCTTTTTTGTGAATAGACTGTTGTTGTCCATCTGTAGCCAAAAGTATAAGATATTTGTTACCTTTGTTGTCCCTCTTCTTAATACACAAAAAAACATGTTTTGGGGTCTATATTTGTTGGTAGGCTTGAATGTGCTGTAACATCATCAACAGCTGAAGTTCTTTCTGCTTAGTCATCTGTTTCTGTCTCTTTACATCTTTTGTTATGAGTTGCTCTCTCAATCTTGTCTGTGTATGTACTCCTCCATCTTCTGTGATACTTGGTTATTTGTGAGAGAAAGTCATCTTTGTTGTCAAGATGAGACTTGATGCTTTCATATACATGGATAGCATGACTCAGCAGAGCTTTCTTGAATGTGTTAATACCTTCTTGTGCTAGTTCTGCAAGTGTTTAGAATATATTGTCTGGCATAGTTCACTAAACCTGCCCTTTGATTAGGTATGGATTACAAAGAGGCTCCACTACTAGCTTGTTAGCACAGGATCATCTAGAAGAAAACTCAGACAGAACATAGATAAAAAGACAGTTAGATAAATTATTTTTATGCTGCCTCAGCACAATACCCTTGCATCTGAGATTTAAGACAGCTCAGCCCAATACTGCCATAAGTGCTTACTTAAGGGTCACTTACAACAGTTTTGTGCTGGGGCATCCTAAATAAACCTCATTTAAAAGAATATTGCACTGGAGCAGCAGTTATGTAGATGTGAATATATACTCTAGAAGACAGATAAGAATTCTAGATGTAGAAGTATTTCAGTAGATGAAAATATACATCAAGCCTATAAGAAGCATGTGCTTACAATTCTCACTTCTGCTAATTAATGTGTTGATGAAAGTGTTATAGAGCTACTGATTAATAGATAATTTTCAATAATTTTTTAAACAATCATACAAAATATATATACATGAAAATCGTTTTTACAGCAATACTGTTTAGTGTTTGTTTTAAACTTAATTGTCTGGACTTATTCAGTACAATGAACCCTGTATTGGCTATAATTCAAAAATTTCTAGAGAAACAGTACTAAATATGGTATCCAGATCTTCAAAATACTGTCATGTATTAAGTATTAGGATGAATTTGATTTTAATAAAATACATTTTCAACAATGTTTTCAAACAGAGCTGTCACTAGGCATTTTAAAGATCCATAATTGGCCTGTTTTCAAGACTACCCCCATTCTAACAAGTCTAGTCATAGTATATTAAAGCAATTGGATTTTCACTGGTAACATAGCTTTTCATAAACCCCAGTAACATTACTAATTACATTTTATTTTGAAAATGAGTATACCTTTCCATAACATGTCAACCCCTTTTATTTTCACGATAGTTCAATGTGTCTTTCTGACTAATAGATATAATGTTAAAAAAAATAATGATGTAGTGTGTGCCAATGAATTAGGTAAGGGATAAATTATATTTTATGACAACACACTTTTATCGTAATTTCAGAATTACATTTGTATAATTTGCATCTGTAAGAGCTAAGTTGCATATTTATGGGCCACAAAGACGTAAATTGTAACACAATCAAATATATGGTTGTAGTATTATAAAGAATAACATTTTCAAGAATATTTTTAACATAACACTTTATTTTTACTTTTCTAGTTGTATAGAAATGTGATGATGTTTAATGAAATTTTGTGTTGAGCATGCTGTTTGTATGTTGTTTCACTTAATAAAAATTGTCCTTGGGTGTTTTGTCAGATTTGATTGGCAAAATATGAATGTTCACATCCAAGTCAACCGATCATGTATGATCTTTGCATTCCCATAATGTGAGTCAGACACAGAGTGGTTTTGTTTTTTATTTGTAATAACTCAGCCGTAGGCTCATAAGTAACAACATAATTATTTTTATGACAAGATAAATTATAGAATGAATAAAGCAGTGTCATTCCTTCGTGTATTGATAACTTTCTGCAGGCAAGATCCCACCATTCCCATGTAAGACCACCAAAGTTAACAATAGTTTTATTCCATATGAGTTATCTTGCTGTAAGTGTTGCACTCATCAATAGAAAGTACACTAAATGTCCTTTTTTTTTCAAGTAATGCATAAAAGCTACTACATTCTTTTCCTTTAAATTATGAGAAATATGTCAGTTAGCAACTTGGTAATTAGGCAATTTTTATAAAAACTTTGGACAAGAAGCTTATTCTTAGATAATTAAAATGTTATCAGTAAATGAAACCAAAACTCCCTTCCTATATGATATAATTCAAATTAATGGATGAAATTGTGTAAATAACTGATCATATCTGAAAACTACAGTATGTATCCACATAAAAATACTAATATAAATGTTTCAGTAAAATCATTAGTGAATGAAATATTATATGCAAGGTTTCCAAAGATTAAGTTAAATAGATGTGAAATAATTTACTAATGTGCATATGAACACAAAAATACCTTGTATATTGAATATCTGTACATGCAGGAACAAGAGTTAGGCCCTTGTGTTAGTATAGTGTGACTAATGTATTGGAAACTTATGCATGGAATATGAAAAATGCCACAAAACAGTTTTGGTTTCAGGTTTATTTGAGCCAGTCATACACAAGACAGCTCACCAGTTTAAGATGAAAGTGAGAAGTAAATGATAATGTTTCAAATGCTATAAAGCCCACAACATTTAATTGGATGCCATAACTGTAGTTCTGTTATTTTAATCTAGCATCTAAAACTATATGCTTCTAGTTGTCTCATTGCCTGTATCAAATCTCTTGTAATTAATAGTTTTAATTAGAATTTTCTTGAAATAATTTTAAGATAGACGTATATTGATTTACATTTGTAATTCGTGTACTTTAATTGTATGTCCAGGGATCCTGGAGAACATTCATTAGTTGGTGGAACGAGTGGATCTTCTAGGTAGGTCTTTGTTACTTGATTTATGCAATTCTAACAAGAGATCTGTGTACTGTATATCAGATTACTGGCCAAGTCATTTGACCATATAAACATATATCAGACTGCTGAACACTTGATATATTTATTTAAAACAGCAGTTTCATTAGTTTCACAACACATTAAAAACTGTGGGAAATATAAATAGCAACTTGTCAGCCCCATAGTAATATTTAAGCTTAAATTTAGATAAAAAAAGGAAAATAACCATAGCTGTATAGGTCCATAAATATGCTAGAATGTCACCTTCAGTATTTTTAACGAGTATAACCCCATCTTCCAAACATAACAGCCTGCTGTTGACTAACCAAAAATCTGATACTGTGTTTTAGAAGCACCCAGACCTCATACACAAGTTTAATATTCTTATCAAAGCTCTTTAAAATTATGAAAATTTTTTGTCAATTTTACTTTTAGAGAAAATATTAACTTGGGTTTATTGGTTATCCACATACACAGAGAGAGAGAATATAACCAATTCTCCCTATGGCAGCTACTGAAACACCATCCATGTCTGAATAGAACGTTGGTTACCTTTTCAAAAATTCATCAAAATGAACCAAAAGATCTCAAAGAGCTAAATTACTAGTTATTTTTATAATGAATCATGTAGAGAAAAGAGGTTTTTGTAGTTCAGTGAAACCTACTTTATGAGATGAGTGAGGAATAAGCAGATTCCTCTGAAACATTTATTTTAATAAGAGTATCACCATCATCTGATTAATGATTTTCAATATAAATGGAGAACACCACCACTCTCCTCATTTGTATAATCATAATGTAACAATACAATAAAGAAAAGACCTTTAGAAAGCTTTCTCAGGCATCCTATTTTTTTGGTTCTTTAATGTTCCAATTTTTTCAAATATCTACTCTCTTACCTGCTTTCTTTTTCTTTTCATATATTCTAAGTTTGTTAGTGTTTTATTTCAATCTTTAGGACTCTTGTGTGAAGAAAGCTTGTGTTGATATTCTGCAGTTGGTGATACCAACCTATAAAGTAAGGTGTGTAATGATATGACATTATCATAATTATTTTACCCAGTGCTCACTCTGCATGATGAGGAAAACGTTGTACATTTGCTGTTATGTTAAACTTATATTAAAGTTTTTCTTCATTACCCATTTAAGCCATCTCCAACCATTATTAGTCTCAAAGTGGGTTCCTCGTCATCGAACATGTAGTTGTTAGATAGGGCCTATTACCTTTAATAAAGTTTTTAAAGTATTGTGTAAGTTTTAATGTTATCTTATTGAGCTTTTAATAAATTTTACATTTTGTTGTTTGTTTCATGATTTTCTTTGTCAGAGATATAATATCGCATGTTTTTTTAACTTGAAATTTATTATTACACTGCAGTTCAAATTGTGATAAATAACCCCCAGCTTAAAAATTACAATAATACATTATTTGATGTCTGAGGTGTCAGATTTTATATGGGTGTATTTATATAGTATTTTGCACATAAGTCTTACTTTATTAATAATTAGCATTTTCTTTTTATTTCAAGTGGTTATTACAGTTATTAATAGTTTTCTGGGCTTCTTCTTATATTTCTAGTATTAATTATTCAAACCCAATATTTTCAACCCTCAATATGACTATGATGAAAGATCCAAGAACTGAATGCTGATCTTTGATTTTACAGTGTATATTTTCAGCCAGATTTTTTTACACCCGAAGAAGCTGATAGATATTTTGATAAGCTGATTGAACAGAGAAGAATTCCTTGGAAGCAAACAGATATTAAAATCATGGGAGAAAAATACCCAACACCAAGGCTCGTGGCCTGGTATGGTCCATTTCCTTATTCATATTCAGGTGTAACATTGGAAGCAGATCAGAAGGTATATGTAGAAAAATCTTAATTTAATTTTATGGTAAATTAGTTGCATTGGCTCTTGTCTTGAATTGTTAAATTTCGTATGTACAAAAACTTGATCAGATCTATGTAAAACAAAACCAAAGCCAATCTTGTAATAGTTTTCATACTGATAGTGCATCTTCTATAGTGGTGCAGTACGGTTTGAAGTTTTTTTTTCCTATTTCAATCTTTCTTTCTTAACTCGTTGGGGACTGCAGTGACTATACATAGCTCTGAGCCAAAATTTGCACATCAATATTTAAAATTTCATTAACAGAATGTAATTGTCACCCATCTCAATAATTTTGAGCCAGAAAATAGTGTAGAAAATGATACAAAAACAATTTATAATTATGTTGTTAATTTTTACAAAATGTTTGAACCTGAATTTCCATTTTTGTAGCTAATTATTTATTCTTTCTTATTGGGTTAAATAATTGCTTCAGTGGGCAAAAAAGAAAACCACAGAGATAAATAAATTAATGAATATAAACAAGTTAAAATTGGTTGGACATAATCAATAACTTAATCAGTAATAAATAATCAAACCCCATTTTTTGTGTCTTTCATATTTTGTTAGTTTTTAACATTGTGTAGGTAAATGATCATATACAAATCTTCTTAAATTTTTATGGTATTAAGGGAATGAAATCAGACCATAGAAATTATTTGAAAAAAGTAGTGAACTTGCATAAAAAGAAGCTAAAAGTCATATAAGTACTAAATATACATATTCTTTAAAAAGTGTTTGTCAAGTTTCATGCAGTTTAATGTATTTTGTTTGTGTAACCAAAACGGAGGAAGGGGGGGGGGTCTATCAAATGACTGGTCCTCAGAGGACTAAGAATAATAAACATTACAGGTGTATTTGAATCTGAGTAAATAATTAGATATTAACAAGTTATTGCCATTTATTTGGCATACAGCTAAATTATTACATAACTTGTTAATGAAAATTAGATATATGTTGCACTATAAAATTGGCGCTTGCGTACATTGCTGCTTACCCCTGTGTGAGTATCTGGATGAAGTTTTGGGAAATGTTACTCAAGTTTCTTACCAAGGGATTTTTTTTTCTTAATCCATTGTGTTTGGTGAGTGAGGCAGACATGAATATCCTCCCTGAAGCTGATATTAGATGTCTTTAAAAGTGTTAGTTAATTCATTCTTATAATAGCTTTTTTTTAGCCGTGGCATAGCAGCATAGAATGGCCCAGAGATGTTTTTCAAGTACAATGTCTTAGCTCATGGCTCTGTCATCTCTTGACCAATTTGAGATCTAATTACAGTTTTGAACTCAGGAGGTTAAACCCTTTCAATTAATGTATTTAACCACGCCCAAGGTCTCAGATTAATTTACTCTAATCCTGTCTAAATGAATTTCAATTTGAGGGTAGGCTGATAGAGATCTTGATGAGTGATAAAATCAAATTGGGTATATGGGCACCCCATGCTTGGTATTGCTGGTGCACAAAAATATAGCTAATAAAAAGAAAAAAAAGGGTCTCGTACATTAATTTACCCTAATCCTGCCTAAAGGAATTTCAAGTGCTGTGGCTATTGAGGATGCCTTTGTTTCTTAAAACTTAAAATCCAGATGTCAATACCCTGAAATGGACATAGCACAAAAAGTCCTTTATTTAGACTTATGTTTCAGACAAACACTTCAGATTTAATGTACTGCATTTTATGCTGAGGTAGTAAAATACTGCTACATCCAAAGAAGGAACATGTGGTCCATATATAATTGGCTGATTTAGAAAATACAATGGGTGTCTGGTTATGATGTTATGTACTATGAAAGATACTGAGGATGAAATTCCTCCCTAGCATGGTTCAAGCCTGGCTACATCATATAGAAATTACTACTAATATAGGAGCATTTTTAAGTTTTGAATTGGCCTTGAAAAAAACAATGATTTTCCATTCTAAATTTGCATAATATGATCTAATGTTGAAGTTTAAAGGGTTATTAGCTTCTATTCTAGATGTGCTTAATATTTTTCAATGTGTTTTGTAACATATGGCGTAAAATGTTTATCTGGGTTGTGGCCTTAAAACTGCTATATTTGTTTCAGCATTCACATCCTTATCCCTGTGTTATCAGTTGTGATTGTGTTGAAAACACTACCAGCTCTAAACAAACATGGTGGTATTCTTAAGATTAATCTAACATATAGATATATTTTGGTTGAAAAAGGACTATAAATAAAATCCATATGATCAGCAGGTACTAAGTTAATACTGAAAGAAAGATGAAAGTTCACAGACACGTCTTAGCTCTTCCAAGTCAAAAATGAATGTTTGAAAATGCCAAAGCTACATTTACAATTCACCTCTCTGTAGCTGACACATTAGAAATTTGGATCACAAGTATCTCGGCTCTGTGTGACAGTTACAAAACAGTCTCACTACATAAGGTAGAACTCGATACAATACAACTATCCCATTAAACAGTGAATTTTTTTTGTGACTGGATCCTCTTGCATAGTTTGTATTAAGAGTAGATTCACAAAATAAAATTAATACCATATGTAAACTAAATTGTTTTATTACACTTGTTAGGACCAGGTACTCAAGTAATGGGCAATAATGTGCACAACTGTTATTTAATCATCCTTTTAATTAATTGGATGTCCATTCATGACTTTGTATCATTCACAATTGAGTGAAGAAAACAGACTGGCATTACTGTATAAAGTGAGTATTTATGGGCATGGTTTCTCAGTAAAACATATTGATCCCTTTTCTAAACATTTCTATACTTGTGAACAAATTTCAGTAATCATATGGGATTCTTTTTAAAACTTAGTAATAAATATTGTTCTCATAATCAAACCCCTGCGTATAGGCTATTTAGCTTAAAAAAAACACTTGTTCCTTCTTTTTGAAAGTTACATGATTTCATGTTTATTGATTCCTCTAGTGTTTTGGTAAGTGGGATCTTTGTTTTTTGTTATCTGGAATCATTTTCTTAATATGATTAATGGTTTGAAAATTTCTTCATTTTATAATGATGTTGTATTGTTTAAAGACATAACATTCTTTTCTGTTCCTTCTATTATATATTAGTTATTACTATTATTATTTTACTAAGAATTGATTTATACTGACATATGTAGAAGATTTTGGAGAATGGAATCCTGTTGATTTGTGTCTTTGAATTTTTCCACAGTTACAACGTATTAGTAAGTTATAAAATAAACATGATTTGTTTTTTCAGCTGAATAAGAACTGTTATTTGTACTAATCTGGCTTAGGTTGTATTGGTGGGTTATAGAGTTGATATTAGAAGGCTTGTAATTTTGAACTGAGATTTCCAGTCTGACATAAAAATTTGCATGTTTCTTAACAAAACTAAATAAATACCATATGTAATGATTAATAATAATAAAAACTTAATAAGTTTGGTGATGTCCATGTACCTGTACACCTCTGGTGCTATAGAAGTTGGTATATCTTTTTTGTTGTCGTACTCAATACTCTCTACACTTGAAAGTATTCAAAATACAAAATATTTGGAGTTAAAAGAAATTCATAAAAATCCCTTATATCAACCAATATTATAAAAGTAAATATTGTCTTTTGATGGATTGTTTGTAGAAATTCTTGAGATCATAATTTTCTAAACAAGTTTTCAATATTTGAAAAGTAAATTCCATACTAAGTAATGTTAATACAAATTTTGTTTATTACTGACCTTGTTTTTTATTTACAGTGGCCCGATGATCTGAAAGAAATACAGCTAAAAGTTGAACAGCATTTGAATGAAATTCAGAAAGAAAAAGTCAGTTTCAATTCTGTTCTCTTAAATTTATATAGAAATGGTAAAGATAGTGTTGCATGGCATAGTGATGATGAACTGTCCATGGGAGTGCATCCAGTGATTGCGTCAGTTTCACTTGGAGAAACTAGGAAGTTCGAACTGAAAAAAAGACCACCAAAGTATAATAGTAAGGTAACAATAGGAATTTTTATTTTCCACAATTCATTTGAATTGTGAGTATGCTTAGTGCAACTTAAACATGTTTTAAGCAACAGTAAAACGCCAATGCATAAAAATCATTAAATAATTGATAATAGCTAAAATGTGTTTTAAAAAGAAGAAAACAACATGAATCTAGTTTTGTATGTTAATTTTGAAGTTGCAGGATAACAGAATACAAAATTTTGACTATATAAACATTACAGAAAGCTTAAATTGCATGTGATGTATTATAGATTTTTGTATTTATTTATGTGTATCAGTTTTTCATATACATGCAGTTTCTTAGCTTTATTGTTTGACTATGTCATAGCCTACAGTAATGTTAGATAATTTTAATAACTTATAGTTATAATCCTATTGGGCATTCAAAAAAATTCACATTGCTTTATAAATTTTATGGCATAATTGTTGTATTATGATATTCTGTTTAATGGAACTGAGACAGTTTGCAATAACTGAATTACTTTCACCCTGTGTGGACCAGTGAGCACTTTTTGGGTGTTGAATGCGTACCCGCATATCAAATTTTTAAAAGTTTAGAAAAAATAACAATTCTGATTCTATTTTAACAATTTTATACCAAAAATATTTTAGAGTTGATATTATGTAACATTTATTTTGTGTCATTTGCAAAGAAAAATGTAACATTTTGACACTTACATTTCTGTACATCTCTAAGGAGCATCACCTGTAAACAACAGACAGATTTGTGTAGAATTTTTCTACTCATCCCAAAGCATGGGTTTATATTTGCTGAGAAACTATCATCTCTTGTGAATACAATTAACCAAGTCTGTTGCCATCCTTTTACGACCTCACAGCATGTGATTTTGAATAACTATTAATGAAGGACAGCTTTGGAATAGTTACAGGCAAAGATAACATTGGATAGAGCAATTATAAACCACATATGTTAGTGCAGAGTGAATAAAGTTGGTGTGAGAAATCATCTATGATTTTATGTGAAAGTGATTAAATGTAGCTAATACAAAGAACAACAACAGAACTTAGTGGGAAATTTGGAAGATTTAGGAACAACCCACAGACCTGTGAATCTTTTTATACATTGTACACTTTTTTTCATGTTACATTATACTTGTGGAAAGTTATGTAAATATTTTTCTATGTCAAGACATCTGTTAAGCCTAGTTAGGTTTAGAGTGAGTGGTAAGCTTTGGCAGTATAATCCAAAATCTTTATTTATTAAATACTATGAGGTTTAACATGGATAAGTAAATAATTTATTTTTTTATAGAAAATAAACTATATTTGTTTGTTACATATAAAGTGATTCCAACCAAAAATAGAAAAAAAATTATATTTAGCTTAATCTTTATACCAATGTGACAGGTCATGTCATAGGTCACCAACAGATCTTTGTCAGTATTTGTTGTGTTTATGTTCTATAGCTGGAAGTGTTGTCTACTGTATATAACATGGAACTTTCTAATCAGCAAGAAAGAAAATGAAATTGTGAATTGAAAGGAAGTATCTTTAATGTCATTCCAAAACAGTTTTTCCCACAAAATTTTGGAAATTTCGCAACGTAAGCAAATGCTAGAAAATTTAAAGTTGAAACATGATACTACATTTTAAGTTTCTTCTAAGATCCATGCAACTTAGTTAAGTATTTCCTCTATGAGAAGAAAAAAAATCGAATGATGTCACTGACTTCCATTCCTGGTGCGGAAAGGATTAAATACCCTATAAGTATAGTTTCTGTTATATACTGCACATGTAAAATGTTTGCTTAACATTAAAGTTTGTAAAAATAGTTTCATGGCCGAAACATTCATGCCATACAATTTATACAAACAATAAAAAAGAAAGTAGGAGAGAATTAACTTAGCCAGCTATCTTATAACCTTATTAGAATTTACTTTTTACCCTACAGTAAATGGAAAACTTATGTACCACCATTATATTTCTAAGTCCCACCCTTACTATAATTTCCCAAGCCATATTTGGATTTCATTGAACTTCTCTCTTTGTTATAATAATTGGTTGAGATGTCATGGTTTGAGTTAGCAGTAGTTCGTGAAAAATTTAAGCTCAGGTATCTTGGGTGAGAGATTTCTTGGTTTCATGCAAGTTTTAGTTATTCCATCTTACCAAGCATGACTCAGATTGGCATGTGAAGTTTTATGGTGTAGAGGAACTGAATAGATAATGCAACATTTTATGTCAGTGGTGAAGTGAATGAACTCTTACAATTGCCAATACTACCCAAGAAAGCCCACATAGGAATCCTAAACTAAAATGAACATGGAATGATGGTTTAATGTAGTCTGATAAAATGTCATGTTTTTAGCTCATTTTTCATTGGTGGCAGAAGGCTGGCTTGACTTCTTTGCAAAATATAACAGAGGATGTGCACCACCCAAACACACATTGGATGTCAGGCAGTACCAGCATGTTACTATTCCAGATAGATAACTAGGACATCATAGGCAAGTGGTATGACCTTGCACACACCCTCGACCTTTTGTTTCTCAGAGAACACTGAATCAAATAGGATGAATGAGACTCGTATTTTGAGGAATTAAGAGAATATATTATTCAGAATGTATTTGACATCCATCCTGTGTTAAGCTTCCAAGAAAAAGATTTGGGTAGCAATGTGCCACAGGTAAGATGAACAGTATTAATGGGTGCACCGTAAGGCAGTAATAATGTTTATTTGTATAATTTCCATAAGGATGATATGCTGACTTTTAAAGAAGTAAAAACTGAAATGGTGTTTTTCAAACTAACAGTGTTTTGCCTTCAACTTCTCATTTATTTCCCAAGGATCCTCTTGCATCATGGAATTATCTACTGCATAAGTTTAGGTTACTCCCCTATCGCAATGAGCTTATGTTTAATTATTATCAGGTTCTTTGTTTGATGGGCAGCATTTCCTAGGTGGGTGGCATTGCTCATATTTCGCTTCTACATTTCAGCCTTCCTATATTTGTATTTATCAGTTACTAGCAAAGTTACTTAACAGTGCCAGGCATAAAAGGTAATGCTATAAATTGAAGAATAGGCTGCCTCCATTCACTATATTGAGCCATAGTGCAATTAACCATTAGTCTGATGCACAGGCTGAGCATAGCATTAGATTTAAGATACTTTCGTTTGGTGTCTGCTTCACATACTTTTCTACCTCATTTGTGGCTCTCAAACATTCGGCCATTTGTCTGGTTGTTTATTCATTTTAAATAAATCATTGAGGGATTTCTCTTAAGACCTTGTAATAAATGTCATCAAAATTGATTTGGCCACATGGACAGACAGATGATGGACAACTCTGCTTTATATGTTCATAGATAGTGGAAGATGTTTTTGCAATTGGTGCAGACATTTCTGTACCTATTCTTTTCTCTTATTACAGTTGATGGATTTTTCATTTTTTCAAACAATATTTATTTCTCCACTACTACTTTATGTCTGAAGCAAATAAACTCAGTAACGAAACTTCCAGATTGAGACATTGTTGTTGCATTACAGGGCTTCTCTATTGTATTCTATTGAATCTTTGGCATTTTCCCTTTCTTCTAGGGATGAGTTGTTTATATACCCTGTCCATTTCTTTTATCTCAAGGCTTGGGTGGTGATGAAGAGCAAAAGATTATTTTGTACCTGATCTTTAATGCTTGAAATAATCATTGTTTTTCTTTGCATGAATATATTTAAAATTTCTTCATATTGGTGTATCTATGATGTGAGTTCTTAATCAGTTCATTTTACACAAGACATCTGTATTGTTATTTTGTAAACTGTTCAATGTTTTATTGAAGGTTGTAGGTCGAGGTAGTGTGTTGAAACTTCCTACCATCTTTTCATTCATACATTGTTTGAATTGTTTGCTACTTTACTATATTTTAATTTACTTTGTACTAATATCAGCTACACTCAATTAGTGGGACTTTCTTTTACTCTAGTGTATCCCACATTTGAGATTGTATATTGCCACACTGCAATTCTATTATTATGCAGTAGAAACAGTTACCAACAAACTTGTACATGTCCAAATTGCTTCCAAAGATCTTTAACTTATTTCGCTATAGCTCTAGGCTGTGGAATCTAATGGATCTTCCCAGGTGTTCTGGGTTTTACAATTTATTGGGCATTCTCTTATGATTTTTTCTTTCATCTACTGTTTCTAAACAACCTGATTGATTTGTCTTGGGATTATTATGAGGCATCACTAATCAGATAATCGATATAGATTTCATGTCTCTAACATTGTGTATCGTGTGTGTGTGGTCACTTAACTATCTTAAACGTGACCTGACACCTCTCTTTGTCGTGCTTTAATTTCTGTTCTCTACACCAGACTTACCATTTGCCTTTTATAATTTGTGTTTTTGTGTGGTCTTCCTTTTCATTGTAGGGATTCTAGCTACCTGAGCACAGTCAAGAAGAGAACATTCTGAGTATGCTTAGATTATATAAAGTATTATTATTGGCAGAGGAGAATCTTTCCACGCTTTTAGAAATTGGAAAAAAGAAAGTAAATATGAAATGTTGCATGTAGCTATTTGAGTTCCATTTTGTTATACAAATGTAGATTTTGTCACAAAGCACATTTTAGCCTTAAACCATTTACATATTAGAAATACTCCTGTGCATTTATATTTCATAATTTGAGATTGTAAAAATTCTGATTCCTTGTTTTTTAGGCAAGAACGAAATCGTCAGTTAATGAAAATATAGATTACAGAGTACACTTGAAAAATGGTAGTTTGATTGTCATGAAAGGTGTTCTTCAGCAGGACTGGTTGGTAAGTACACTATCCGTGGGGGCTTAAGAGTATAAGGTTGGTCAGTACACTACATTAAGAACATTTGATGTACATAACTCGTAGTTCTTTCTTCCAGTAGGTGGCAAGAAAAAATCTAGTATAGAATGTTCTTGTAAATTTATTTAAGATATTTCTGGACTAGAGGTTATTGTTTTTACTTGCACAGTGCAGTAAAAATCACTATTTTTAATACCTTAATATATGAGTGATTGGTGTGAGGTATATGGGTCTCATTGTTTTTTACCGTCAGTATTATAAGTATTTAACAGTTATATCTATGTACTGCAAGGTTAATATGCATGTTGTCCATTGCAGCATAAACTGATACAAATATAGGCTAAATACAATAACTAATCAAAGTAAAGCTTACTGGCTGTTCTAGATAGCCACCAACACAGGCCATTTTTTTTTATTCAAGGTAAAGATATCAAATGAGAATGTTTGTCAATAAAGATAACAACCAGGGGTTATCACAAATGTAAATCTCATATATTTTAGCAATTAATTTTATATTAGAACAATAACATACTCCTATAGTGGAAGCCGTTTTTCATATATAATTACAGATATTCATCTTAAATAAAAACTCACTTATGTGCTTCTTTTATACCATTTTTAAGGGGAAAATTTACAATAGACAATATCTTTATCAAATGAATTAAACTAGGCTAAGATGTTACAAAAGGGACAGTGGTGCATGTAAAAAAAAACATATTTAAGTTGTACAATTAACTATTTGTAATGTTTTATAAAACTAACTAATGCCTCCAGATTTTGTTAGAAAAAAAAATAAAGTTGGGAAAGACATAATGTTAGACTTTCACATCAAATAAATTCAACCTGTATGTAATACATCATTAAAATGTGGAATCCTGTTGTTCTAAATCACTACATGGGCTATAATTTGGCTCTCTGTGCTACTCTAGGTATAACTCTATTTATGTTCTTTTACAGCACCGAGTGCCAAAGGAGTATCATGATCGTGGCCGTCGCATTAATCTTACATTTCGAACAGTGTATGAACATGTATAATAATTATAGGATCGTGTTTTACACAATTTAAAATAATATAAGTTCTTAAGAGCTTGAGAGGAAACAAACTGAAGTTAATTTTTCAAAATACTTTAATATATAGTGTCTTGCAAGTCTGATTTTGTAATTATCTATGAATAATTAAACTATTTCCAACATGCTTATTCCTTAGAAATCATTTTCACATTCTGTGAAATCATTATTATGGACAAATGCAAATACAAATAATCAAAATTTCTGCCTGATATCTTACAACACTGGCTTTTATCAAGGCATAAATAATTATAAATTGTTCTTTTAATAAACCACAAACTATAGTTGTCGATCTCACTTGTTTCATCCAGTTCGTTATTACTTGTCTAACTAAAAACTGATTTAAATAACCAACTATCATAACTCATTTAATTCAAAAATATATTAAGATTTACATGCATCTTTTGATATTTGATCTTTACACACTTAAATCAATCGTCTTCTCTCTATTTTCACTTGAATGCCTTTAATAAACCATGTGATTTCTGGTGTTTAATTCTTCCCTTTCCAAGACAGTTAAATACTTCTAAATTGTCCTCAATATTAGTTATAAATGAAGGTTTAACTCTGAAAACAATAGCATAATTGGTTTCATTATTTGTACAGTAAATAAACCAAAACTTCATGGTTTGCCTACTTTATTTTCTTGCCAGAATGATATACCCATTCCTTTATTCTAAACCCAACACATGTTGACATCCTGTCATCCAATAGTTCTCCCAACAGTCTTGAAGTCGTCCATTCTCATTGTTACAAAATGCATGAAAATCATTCATAAGTGTTTTCATGAAGTGCTCATCTCCAGTGTTTTGTGTCTTCCAACGTTTGGTCACCATGTAATTGTATGACCAAAGAAATCCAATCTACAATAAGAAAATAATGTGTAAATCAAATACAAGAGGATGTAAAATGTACACAAAAAAAGTCATGAATATCAATTCTTATTGTAGTTCTACCATCTTGAAATAAAAAAAATCTCTAAATTATTTTATTAAATTAATAAACAAATAGAAGCTGTATTAATTTAAAAGTTATCAAACAAGTGCATGAGGACATCCTTGAATCAAAGACTAATAAAAAAAAAAGGCCATATATCTGATTCTGACAAAACGATATGCCAAGTTTATGATGTCATAAATCCAAATTTAGAAAAATGCCATAGGGATTTTTTTTGTTATTTTCAAAAATATTAAGATCGGGCCCTTAAATCAACCTCTCCTTTAATTGGGAACACTGATCCTCATTAGAAAAAAAGATAAAAAAAACTGATTTGTTAGCTTGATTGTGCAAATATATAAAACAAAAGATAGGTGATGAACAGTTATTTTCTTTAAGCACAATGGATTTTCCTAAGTTGTGAATCATTCCATATTTAGTTTTTACAGAAGGAACAAAAACAACAACATATTACTTGAAAACTAAATCATATAAGGTTCTTCTGAGTAAAAGTATAATTCAGTTAATGAATTAGTACCTAGCAAAGTCATTTCTTCTTATAATGCTCTTTTTGTTTTAATTTAAATATAACATTTTATAGGTAAAGCTGTAGTTATATCTGTAAATAAGTGATGTTTTTTGAAAACTTGCACAATATATGATTGACTGCACTTTCTTGAAAGATTTTAGTAAAAAAAAACATTCACATTACTTTTCAGTGATTAACTAAGTTATGCGGTGACATTAGGTATACTGAATCACGAACATCACATTTCAGTAATGAACTAAGAGAAGTGGTCACATTAAGTATACTGAACTATCATGGTGTAACCATGAACCATGCTTTTCAGCAACTAACTTCAAAAGATGGTCATATATATTTGATCAACCACAATCTTATAGTAACTAACTACAGAGTATGATCATTTTTGGTAGAGTATGAATTCATGTGGAAGTTTTTATTATTTTATCACAATCAAAAGTTGTTCGTAAGGGGAGTACACATACAAAGTTATAATATTATTGAAAAAGCACAACTGCTAAAACAACATTCATTTCTCCTAAAATAGAATGCTGAATACTACTGTAAAAGTTTTGTCAGTGTTTAATGAAATGAATTTGAAATTATATGAGACTCGTAAAACAAGGATTTATCGTTTTTAAGAAAAATACACAGTTCAGAAACACAACGAGGTAGTTGGACTTATGAATTATATATCTTTAACTGGAATTTATAAACAGTTAAAAGCTTAATTTATATTAGAGGGAAGTATAAAACTTTTGCATGTATACATACACACCTAAAATAAAACGTTTTTGTAGTCTTTAGGTTTTAGTCAAGCACAAAATAAACATGATAAATACCTTTGCCTCGTGGCTAGAAATGGCATCATATGATCGACTCTTCTTCCCACTAAAGTGCCTTGTAATATATTCTTCATGTGGGCTACAAATGGGTTGTTGGTATTTCTTTAAAAAATAATAATAGTTAGTTTAAGAAATACCTAGTTATGGAGAGAACAAATAAAACATTTAGATTTTTTTGTATCAGTCTTTAAAATTCTTTAACACATTTTTTTAAAATGAACATACTAATGGCAAGTATGATAAATTGTGAAATAAAAAAGGGTATAAAATTAGTTCATAACAGTTTATAACAAACAATTTCAAGTAACATTTAGATACATTCAAGTAACAAGTAGTTTGAAAAAAGTATTTTAAGTTAACAAGGAAATGCAAATACTACTCTAATAGTTCAGAGCTGATAAATGTCTTTAATGAATACAATTTCATAACTAATACAAAAATATACACATAATTTAAAATACTTTATGAACTAGACATAAAATAAACATGGCTTTTATTAAAACACCTATACATCATTCTCCCAAAATAAACTTCAAAGAATTTTATAACTAAAGTACAAATCAAAGAAAAAAATAAGTAATGCTTACCTGTGTTCGTTTTTTAATGTTAATACAACCAGACACTGATGGAATTTGATTAGGAATCATAACAAAAGCACTACCGCTTACGTGTACATAATAGTTTTGACTTGCAGGGTCACGATGAATCAAAAACCCAAATCGTCTCAAAATGTGTTCTTGAAACAATTCAAGTGCTCCACCTACATGACATCCATTTTATGAGTTATTAATTCCAGAACCAGTTTTTATCCTAACACTAAAATTACTAGAAGTTGTCAACATTTCACATTTTGCTGAGTTTGTAACAAGATCCTTTAATAAATTAGAGCACAGTATAAACACTTCTTTAATCTTAAAACTGAACTTACTTCAATGATTATGAAGCAATAGGCTTTTAAAAATTCAGCATTTGTTTTAGGGAAGGGTGTCAAATTATAAGTTTTTACAACAAAGAAAAATTTTATTTTCCAAATTAATGCACAAACACTACCCACAAAAACAATACTGCTAAATTTATAATAACAAGCAGATCTAGAAAAATCAGAGGATTCATGGCTATTACTTGCCTCTTATAGTTTTTGTAACCTATATAATAAACTACATTCTCAGAATGAGTGACAGAGTAACTATTATTATTTAATTTCTTTTGGCTAAATAGTATTAAATTTTAATAAGCTTATGATCACACTTCAGATTATAATTTGCTTAAATTGTTATTTGTTTTCAAATCACAATTTTTATTGAACAAAAAAAAAATATGCAAAAGTTATTTCCCTGAAAGAAAGATAAAAGCTGTTTAGAGGGGTCACTTGTTTTAACCTCTTGCACCACTAGACAGTAGTGTGTTGTCTGTCAGTTAGTCAACAGGCACTAAAATGACGTCACATAAGGGATGTTTAACATTGCAATTTCTACTGTTGTGATGTCAATAAAATGTGTGCTTGGCATGAATCATGAGAAGAATTAGGCACTCTGTAGGTTACAACACAGCATGACATATGAAATTCAAAAGCAAGAAATATAAATATTTGTTACTCTTAATTTTGGTTTTATTTACTCTTGAAATAGAACATTTTCAGAGACCCTGCAAAAGTACATCTAGTATTATTTTTACATGTATTATCTGTTTAATCACACAAGAGTAGAAAAACATTTTGAACTATTTTCCAAAAATCATTTTATGCACAGCATAATAGGCCAGTTTTTCAAAATTGTTTTATGTTGACTTTATTCCTCCTAAATTCTAAATGCAAATCATAAACTTTAAAAAAAGTTCAACATTTTATTTTTAATATTTTACAAATTCAGTGGGTTATTTTCTATATTCCACACATTCCACAATTTCTTTTTCTGTATTTGAAAAGCTATAAACTCTACATGATGTCCATTAATACATCTGATCATATTTTTCAATAAATTCAGTTTACACTTTTTATAGATAAAATTAATTAATGAGAATATCCTTGATAAGTAATTTGGATATATTTTTAATATTTCATAATTTCAATAACAGTAAATCAATTAAAATTACATGGCATACTTGTCGACAGGAACTAAAGATTTCATGTGAATATGGACTCTAATCATCTTGCTTTTGTGAAGAATTGGGTTTTCCAATGATTAGTGTAAGCCAATCACTATCATGTATATTTTTTTCTGTAAAAACTTTTAATTGTAACTTCAGTGCAGGTTTAGAATACAAATCATTTTGTTTATTATTATTATAAAAATATAGCTATAAAATACAATAAAACTAATAAAATATAATCTTAGGTAACTAAAAGACAATTTTATCAAAGCTTCATAGCACTAAACAATATACTTTTGTTGGTTGATTTGTTGTTAAGCACAAAACTACATAATGGGTTATCTGTGCTGTGCCTATTGTGAGTACTGAAACCCCATTTTTAGCATCATAAGCCCTTTGACTTCCTGCTGAGCCTCCAGGGGGCAAAATTGTCCTAGAATATTTTGTATTTTCAGGTATTTACACTTTATTACTATATGGTATATGCATCTAAACATGGCTAATTTAAAGCTGACTACTTGCTACATTATTTTAACACATTATGATTTTTAAAAGTTACTTTTGCTCATCTGGAAATTTTGAGCAGCAATTTTATCATGTGAAATACTTTAATCAAAGAAGCCCCCTATAGTCTAAAAGTTATTCTCAACTTATTTTTCCCCTCCTAAGACTTAACTAGGGAAGCTGAAACTCTACAGTTTATAAAAGCAGCACAAACTTTAATATGTATTTAAGACATTGAAATTTTCAATAAACCATTATTTTCATTTAATTAAACATACTGAATATTGCAGATAATAGTGTTCATGGGCATCCTTGGGAGGTGGAGGTGAGAAACATAATTCTTTCTTTATTTATTTACAAGTTTTTTATCCACTTCACAATTTCATACTACTTATTACACTTAATTTTCAATTCTAACAAAAGTCACCAGGTTTGTCAACAGCTTTAGTTAAAAACCTCTAGACACCTACCCTGTATCTAAATATTGAAAAACATCACTACCAAGGTAGCTTCTTGGATATTGGACATGTCAGTTCTAACTCAGGTCATCAAAGAGACTGATGACATGGTCTTGCTGATGTCCTCTGAGCCCTGACACAGTGTGATTGGGGTGAGCCTGTTGCCACCTCCCGAGCAGGTTATCAAAGAGAATGATGCAGTCTTCAGATATCCCATGAGACAGTGTTGTTGGGGTCAACCAAAATTTACTATTATGGAGTATATATATAGCTGCAACTCTGCAGCATGGCTTAAATTAGTCTCATAAGTATTAAACCCCATCAAATCTGACTGTGGGGAGCTTGCCTATTCACTTGACTGTAACGATAAACTTTGAAGGCAGGTC